GTGTGTACGCATGTGTGTGTGTGTGTGTGGACAGCTTGTGCCGGAGTTCACTGAAATGTTTGTGTGTGTGTTTGATGTGTAAATGTCACTGATCACCCCATTTCTTCCACCTGATTACCCATGCTTGCTTCTACCTGTCTGTGCGCTCAGATCTTCTCTGTGGGTAAATGTATCCTGAGGCCAGAGGAAAGGACTGGTGCATTATGGGTGTGGGGCCAGTTAACTCTCTAAAAGTGTATGAGTGTGCATGCGGCTGTCACACCGTCTCATTATATTGGAACCACAAAAAAGGTCAGATCACATGCCCCTATCATACTCGCATGGTGTATTTGGCACTTGAAGAAATAAAGTTGTGCCTCATTAAGCACGGCATCAAGCTCCTTTCCTGTGTGATCAACCCGGTAATCACCCATCGGTTAAGGATTAAAAGTGTTGGCTCAAAGCCTGAATAATGACGTACTGTAGTAGCTGGAGATTTATTCAGTAACATTTTAGTGGTGCTTTATAACTAGTAATGTTGTTATGCTTGTTCATGGGTCATTGACAAATAAGAGTGTCCAAGATAAAAGGAAAATCTAGCTTGTGTCAAGAAGTTCTTAGAAATGAACCTGAATTAACTTTGCCTTGTTATAAAAAGGTTTTGTTATGTGGTATTATATCAATTATATTTTCTGTTTTCAGTTTAATTTTAGTAAAAGTTTGAGTCATTTCTTCTGTTTTATCATTTTTAATAGTTTTTTTAAATGTTTAATTTGAGTTATTTTAGTACTTCAGGAACTTCTGTTAATGTTTATCTTATTTCAAGTAATTGTCAAAGAAATTAAAGGATTTGAATAGTTTTAGTTTTCGTCAACGGCAATAACCCTGGTTGCACCACATGACCTTGATTTGGTGTACAAAGGTTTTAAAATATTAATAAGCAGTTTTATTTTTAAAAATGATTTTAAAATTGTTTATATTTTTATTTGTTTGAATATAAAAGATTATGCCAAACTAAATTAAACTAATTAATTTTTTTATGAATTTTCTTGAATGCATTTTTGAACGGAATCAATATTTTTTAACGTTATACTGCCCCCATAATATCAAAATGAATTTGAATTCAGATGATTTTAAGTAATAAAGTGTTAAATTTAAAGTGTAAGTGTGGAACATAGCTCATCCCACACCATATACTGTACGAACATGAATGGCGACTAGTTTTGCATGGGCAAACATCCCGCAAAAATTTCTGTTTTATCACCTTTGTGCGTTTAAGACAGCCAGTTTTATTTTTAAAAATTATTTAAAACATTTAATTTTTTCATTTTCTTAAAATTGTTTATATTTTTATTTGTTTAAATATAAAAGATTACTAAATTAAACTAATTAATTTATTTTTTTATGAATTTTCTTGAATGCATTTTTGAATGGATTTAATATTTTTTAACGTTATACTGCCTCCATAATATCAAAAACGAATTTGAATTCAGATGATTTTAAGTAATAAAGTGTTAAATTTAAAATTTAAGTGTGGAACATAGCTCATCCCACACCATATACGAACACGAATGGCGGCTAGTTTTGCATGGGCAAACATCCCTCAAAAATCTTGTTAAGAGTTAATACGTCACATTTCTTTTTTATCACCTTTGTGCATTTAAGACAGCCAGTTTTATTTTTAAAAATTATTTTAACATTTTTATTTTTAAAAATGGTTTTAAAATTGTTTATATTTTTATTTGTTTGAATATAAAAGATTATGCCAAACTAAATTAAACTAATTAATTTTTTTATGAATTTTCTTGAATGCATTTTTGAACGGAATCAATATTTTTTAACTTTATACTGCCCCCATAATATCAAAATGAATTTGAATTCAGATGATTTTAAGTAATAAAGTGTTAAATTTAAAGTGTAAGTGTGGAACATAGCTCATCCCACACCATATACTGTACGAACATGAATGGCGACTAGTTTTGCATGGGCAAACATCCCGCAAAAATTTCTGTTTTATCACCTTTGTGCGTTTAAGACAGCCAGTTTTATTTTTAAAAATTATTTAAAACATTTAATTTTTTCATTTTCTTAAAATTGTTTATATTTTTATTTGTTTAAATATAAAAGATTACTAAATTAAACTAATTAATTAATTTTTTTATGAATTTTCTTGAATGCATTTTTGAACGGAATCAATATTTTTTAACTTTATACTGCCCCCATAATATCAAAATGAATTTCAATTCAGATGATTTTAAGCAATAAAGTGTTAAATTTAAAGTGTAAGTGTGGAACATAGCTCATCCCACACCATATACGAACATGAATGGCGGCTAGTTTTGCATGGGCAAACATCCCTCAAAAATCTTGTTAGGAGTTAATACGTCACCTTTCTGTTTTATCACCTTTGTGCATTTAAGCAAACCACTTAGTGGCTTCAGGAGGGCTGTTTTTGCAATTAGTCTGTTTTTTGGGGGATGAAAGTGTCTGCTAAATGGCAAGTAATTTGCTAACAAGTGTGGTGGGAGGCACTAAGGCATTGGCCTTTAGCTTCACAATAGCAGACTGAAGGCATTTTTTTTCCTGCAGAGACAGTATAATGTTTACCTGGGATGCTTCAGTGGGCAGAAAGAAACGTGAAGACTGTTCCAAAAGGTCCACACTATAATCCTGCCTTCTAAGATACCTTCTTTAATACAAAATACAAGTCCTAATGCACTGCAACAAGCTCTGTGAAGAAATGCAGTATTTCCCACTGTAGATGGTGGATGTAGTTGAGATGTCAACTGTAAATATACATCATGCTTCGTTCATAAATCGGCACTATATATATCGGTTTTCGGCTGATTCCGAAGAATCTATATACGTATCACATTGTTAGCTTGGCAACGTGGTAAATCTAAGTTGTTGAGGTCCCCTTGTGGGACTGAAGCTTTTAATGTTGTTTATATATGTATATTATGTGGTGTTTTTTATATGCTTGAAGACAAAACATGTGTAAATTTACAAGTCAACACCATTGCTGAATAATTTCTCCTTGAAACTCCAGTGAACCAGACGGTCTCAGTTCTCAAGAACGCCGTTTGAAATCGCTGGTGTTTCTGACGTGAGAGTGAGTGGAGGCGGGTCTCATTTGCATATTCATAGAACCGTGTTTACTAAATGAGGCATGGGTGTAGATTTACACTCAATCATTTTTTTCAAGGAAAAAACATTTAAATATGTAACTTTGCTGATCAAATATGAGTTTTAAGGGATACATTTTTTAGGGGGACTTACTAAAAATGCTTTCATCAAATTCTTTTGAATCTATTGTAAGTGGTCATTTGTGTGCTTCAAGTCAGTGGTGTTCTTTTGTTGTTTGCTAAATTGTTCTCTGCTTTCTGCAACAAAGCTCACAGTGTGTATCTGTGATTGTACATTCAGTTTGATACGACAGTCCCAAGACTGAATGGAATGTTTTTATACTTTTGACACTTACTGCATTTATATAGTGTGAATTGCACACAGACTTCCACACATTTAGAGAGAACGGGAGAGCTCATATTATCAGGCTCATCTCAGGTCACATGCCTTCCCATACTATTTTCTGACGGTCATTTCTTCGGAATTAGTGATGTCATCTGAAGCCATTCTGACTTTAGAAGGAGAGATTATTCACAATACACAAAGGCCTTTGCCACATGTCTCCAGAGTGAAAGTCCCTTTGAGATCTTTTTCTGAGTTTATTAGGTAAAATATGGGTTCGGATTTGAGACAATAACTGTGGACTACTGACATGGTGACATTCCTGTGACAAATAAATACCTTTTCTTTCCACATTAATTGTGTGTCTAGGAACAGTGTGTATTTGTAGATGTTCTCAGAAGTATATTTCACTTTTTATGGCCTAAGTCTTTTTGCTACAGCCCAAGGAAAACTATGTTTAGAGAGGGCATCAGTAAGCTTAAAATAGAAAGAGTCAGCCATTTTGGATTAGGATTTAGATTTATTTTCAGTGTTAAACAAAGTACTTCTTCATATCTACATTATATCAGCCACAGCGCAAAAAAAAAAAAAAACACACTTTCACACTTTTTTTCCCTCTCACCATTCTGAATTGATAGAAAATTGTGAAAATTGATTTAAACAAACTTTTTTTTTCTTCACAATGTCTCAAGCAATTCTAATTTTAAAAAAACTCGCAATTCTGAGAAGAAAAGTCCAAATTGTCATTTTAAATTCTCTTTAAAGGTGAAGTGTGTAGTTTTTGCGACATTAGTGGCACAGCAGAATTACGCAAAGATACAACATATTTTGCAAATGGCCTTTTCGCGAACGTCACAAATACATAATAGAAATTGTTTTAGCTGTGTATCATAAGTAAACAATTGACCTATGGCTAAGCCACGCCCTCAAACGCGATGAGCCAATCACAGTGCACAGCTAACCCAATACTCTATCTATCTATCTATCTATCTATCTATCTATCTATCTATCTATCTATCTATCTATCTATCTATCTATCTATCTATCTATCTATCTATCTATCTATCTATCTATCTATCTATCTATCTATCTATCTATTCATCTATCTATCTATTCATCTATCTATCTATCTATCTATCTATCTATCTATCTATCTATCTATCTATCTATCTATCTATCTATCTATCTATCTATCTATCTATCTATCTATCTATCTATCTATCTATCTATCTATCTATCTATCTATCTATCTATCTATCTATAATGAGATGCTCTCTTAATGTGTACTCAGGCTCAGTTATCAGTTTGGAAATGGCCAAATATTGGCTGATGAATCAGCCTGGGTGATATATTGGTCATTAATCAGAGTATTTGGCTTCTATGGTGAGCCTGAACTTTTGAAATATCATGGTCAGCACTTTATTCTTAAACTCAGTGTGCTTTCATTCATGCATCATAATTAGCCAGCTTTTTTTTTAACGGAGAAGTTTAACTGTTCATTATACAAAAATTAAACATGGGTTTTCATTCAGTTATTGATGTTCTCTTCACAGACATCGCTCCGTACTTTAAAACCGAGGTAGGGGGTACACAAACACATCTGGAGGGGAACAGGCTCGTGCTCACCTGTCTGGCTGAGGGCAGCTGGCCGCTGGAGTTCAAATGGATGAGAAACAGAACAGACATCACTGAATACACACCGGAGTACAGGTAACAATGAACACACTCTTTGGCTGTTTGCTGTTTACGTGTCTTATTGGAAAGTTCATGAAACACGCCGTTACGGGGCTATTCCATATCATGAAGTCCTCACAAAACAGCAAAACATAAAACTCCCAAGCCACTCATTTCAGATTTTGATTTAATGGGATTTTTAAAGTTGTTTTTATAGCACTATTTTGGTATGAGTAACCATTATCCTAACTTGCACCCATGTACTGGGGTCATTGGATTCTGTGTTGGAGATTGTACAGCAGACAATAGTGCTAGAATATAAAATAATCTAGACAGTGCAGAGTCCTGTGGGATCTCATTTGTACTGTTTCCCTCTTTGGCCTCTTTTGTCTTGTCTGGTCATCCATCTTTGACCCCTCGTGTTTTGGAGACATTATTATTAGATTGACCTCAGAGTATGTGTGATAAAGAAATGGTGTATAATAAGAATAGTGTTAGCTAGATGAGCGATGAGGTCTGTTTTCATCAATTTTAAAGCCCAAAAATAACTTGAATGGGATAGTTCACTGAAAAAATTCTAATTGTAATAATTTGTTCATGTTGGTGGGGTTAATAGTTTTATTCAACATCACCAAGTTGATCAAAAATACATTGTTACAAAATAATCTATTAAAAACATTTTAGCTGAATAAAAAAAAAAAAATTACTTTGTACATGAAAATTAAAAAAATGTTTCCTTGCAGAAAAACTAGGGCTGTCAAACGATTAATCGTGATTAATTGCATTCAAAATAAAAGTTTTTGTTTACAAAATATATGTGGGTGCACTGTGCGTAATTTTTTTGTATATATATAAATACACACACATATTTAAGAATCTATATTTAAGAAAAAATATTATTTATATATAAAATATTTAAATATAATATAAATTATATATAAATCTATATACAGTATATACATGAAAATATTTCTTAAATATATACAAGCATGTGTGTGTATTTATATATATATATATATATATATATATATATATTAAACAATTATGCACATTGCACCCACATATATTATGTAAACACAAACTTTTATTTTGGATCCGATTAATTTTGATTAATCGCTTGACAGCCCTAAGAAAAACTAAAGTAAACTTAAGTTGAAGCACTAAATTATTATATATATATTATTATATTATTAATATATTATTAACTATATTAATATTTTAAAGAAACAACTTATACACATGACACAAGCACATAAACTTGTTAAAAATAAAATGTAAAAATTTTAATGTTTAATTTTGAGAATATAAGAGTAAAGGCAAATCTTCAAAATATTATATTTTTATTATAATTCAAAATATTAATAAAAAACTACATTTTAATAAAACAAAATATTAATGCTACATTAAAGGTGCATTGCGCAACATTTCACGTTAAAAATACCCGTTTTTCTAACCCATACTTAAACAATTGCCTGATGGGCTGAATGAGAACTTCTCTGATCTCTGCGATTGCCTCTATAATCCTGTACAGTCAAATAAATAAGAGGGATTCAGGACGGAATTTGTGACGAGGCGAGACGTCATGTCTAGTGACAAACGCTCACTTGGCTATGTCTGGCAGGTTTGTGTATTCGCCGCCATTCTCCGTATCAGCGAAGACAACTCGGGCGACAAAACTTTAGTCAACTTTAGACAAAAACATGGATTCAAAGAGACCGGCTTGTAGTTCATTCCAAACCCCAACACAAACTCCACGTAATAAAACTTTTGTTGGAATAAGACGAGAGTCAACATCGGGAAGGCTTTCAACAAATGGAGAGATCTCCGGTCTGCTCTAGGGCTCAAACGGGATCCTATACAAACAAAGTAATAACTTATATTGTTCATGAACGTGTTTCCATAATAATACAATCATAATTGGATACAGTAAGCACATAAAACAGTTCAACATGGAGAATAAATACCAAAGTTACCCCTCACACATAAGTGTGTAATTTACCTTTCATATATTTAAAATGACTTCCAGATTTATAACTTTATTACCTCTGAAGACATTTTTACTGTAACAAAATATTGGTGCGGCTGATGCTCCTTTGGTTATGAACAGCTTGTGCAAGCGTGCATGTGCGTGTGGTCCATGAGCGCGCGCACCTCTGGTTGCAGTTTCGCTTGTCGCCAGAGGGGGCATAGTTCTGCAAAAACTCAGAGACTTGCGCAATGCACCTTTAATATCGAAAATAACACTAATACTAAACCTGTATGATTTCCCTTTCTATTTCATCTTGACAGTAATTTTAAAATGTAATGTTTTCCAGTGTTCTTCAGAATGGTACGTTTGATCAGCAAAGTTGATTCCACGCTCAGTCCACATGAACCATCAGTTCTGCATTAAACAGTCATCTGTAAAAAGCGAATCAACATAGATCTGAGCAGCGACCCTGTGGGCTTGTAATCTTTCTTGTTAAACAGCACACACACACACTCACATCCATCCATCCGCTCATGAATCCAAGCACTTGTTAGCGTCCACATTCAAGCTTCTTGTATGTTTATTGAACTGTTATTGAGGAAATCATGTTGCAGGTACAGATAACACATATTTGACAATTATATAATCTAGAGCCAGGTTTTGGGATGTGTTTGAAATAGCATAGTAACATACTACTCATACTATATGGTCAACTGTATGCAAAACCAGCGCATGTGTATAGTAGTATACTTTATTCCACAATGCAATGCACTCCATTTGACTTTTTAATGTAATAGTACTGTATCTCTCTCTCCAGATTTTCCTCCTTGGCTCATTATTTGATCCAAAAGGGAGAAGTTAAGATATTTTTAAGCAACAGTGGATTAAAGAAATTTCATAACTGGAAGTGACTCACTGAATTAAACATGCACCCTAGTGAGGTTATGAGACAACAATGTTGTACACCACTATTTGAAACATTTATCATTGCATAATGTGCTCTGTTGACACTTAAAAAAGATGTGGTGTGCATTATAGTGTATGCTGCAGATCAAGAACATAGTCCATTACTCAAGTAAGCAATATGCAAATCCCAGCTCGCTTTCTTTCTTCCAGGTACACGATCACATTGTTAAACCGCAAGGATACGGGTTTGTATCAGTGCGCGGTGAGGAACAGGATGGGGGCGCTGATCCAGACGAGAGCTGATGTTCGTGTGGCTTGTAAGTACATGTGTATGTTGTTAGAAAGGGAGTCTGGGAGGCTGAAGCACAAATGGATTTCACACATCACCACACTCACCTAGAACACACTCATATGCATGTAGCACAGGGTCCCATAAGGGGAAGAACGAGAAGTGACATTCAGGAAACACTCCAGTAATTTTTTAAATATGCTGTCAATCCAGTACACTTTATTTACTCTTTGTAATACAGCTGGTGTTTGGGACACATATACAAGTATGTTACGGCAAAAGCCACTGAAGGCCATGTGTTAAAATAATTTGGGGTGTGAGTGCCTTAAACATCCTTGACTGTGATGAAATCCTTATACAGCAGAAGCTTACCCAAAAATGAAAGTTATGTCATTAATTTCTCACCCTCATGTCGGTCCAAAATCGTCATTCATCTTCGGAACTGAAATGAACATATTTAAACTGAAATCTGAGAGTTATCTGAAAGTTAGTCAAGACATCAGTGTAACTCCAGTTGTTTAACCTCAATTTTATAAAGTGATGCGAGTGCTTTGTTTGCAAAAAAAAAAAAAAATCTCACGTTTACGCAATGTCTGCTCTCACATCAACACAACACACATGCATTATGGTGCTCTCGTGAATGCGTGTTGGACACTAATATTTTGTAAATAAAGTGGTAAATTATGTTTTTTTTTTTTTTTGAAGCACTCTTCATAAAATTGAGGTTAAACCACTGGAGTCACATGGATTGCTTTAATGATCTCTTGACGACCTTTTTGGGGCTTGAAAGTGGCAGTAGCTGTCAATGGAGGGAAAGAAAGCTCTCAGATTTTAGATCTTTATTGTTTTAACAAAATGACAGAGAATGTTGTAGGGCTGTCAAACGATTAATCGCGATTAATCGGATGCGAAATAAAAGTTTGTGTTTTTAAATAATATATGTGGGTGCACTGTGTATATTTATTTTGTATATATATATAAATACACACACACATGTATTTTTAAGAAAAAAATATTATTTATATATAAAATATTTAATTTTACATATCATATAAATTATATATAAATATATATATACAGTATATACAGGAAAATATTTCTTAAATATATACAAGCATGTGTGTGTATTTATATATATATGAAATAATTATACACAGTGCACCCACATATATTATGTAAACACAAACTTTTATTTTGGATGCGATTAATCGCGATTAATCGTTTGATAGCCCTAGAATGTTGATATCACCAAAAGAGTAACAAATTATGAGATGCCAAATGTGCCTCATATTGCAACCGAAATCATAGTCACAATGTTCTCTCTCTCTCTCTCTCTCTCTCTCTCTCTCTCTCTCTTTCTCATAGACATGGATAACTTTGTGGAACTGGAACAGAGAAAAACGGTCTCTCAGGGAAGAGCCGCTGTCCTGAATCCCCCTGCTGTGAGCAGTTACCCTCGCCCTCAGGTCACATGGTTCAGAGACGGCTTCAAGATCATTCCTAACCATCGGATGTAAGTTGCCATTTGACATTTTGACATCTGTGAGGCTTGTCCTGTAAAAAAGATCAATAGATATTGACTTAAAACTGCTCTAATTTATTATGTAAATGGTTTTGTCTAAAATAGACGCTTAAGTCATCATTTACTGACTCCTATCATTTGTTTTCCAATCCTTTATGGCTTTCTTTGAGAAAATATTTGTCTTTTTGATGAATATTCTGCTCATTCTTTTCAGTTGATTGTGAGTGAATGAGAACTGAGTCTTAAGAGTATAAAGGGAAGTTTATACCACTCATATGAGGAACACACCAAAGTCATTATTCTCTGAAATTCATCATTTTAAATTTCTCTTTTTGTTTTCCACAAGTCAGTCAGTCATATAGGTCCGGAACGACATGATGGTTACTAAATGAATACAGAATTTTCATCTTCAATTAAAGGATCAATATATATTGACAACAGCCTGTTTAAATTCATTATGTAAATGTATTCCTAACGCAATAGACTCTCAAAAGTCAGGCAATCCTGAATCTGATCTGTACACTCTGAAACACACAAACACACACGCACGCTTGCATTGAAAAAAGTGTTTCATCAATCACTGTCTTCTGTCTTTAGACTGATTTCTTCAGTTGGCCCCCACAGCAATGATGTGCTTTATGACGTTTATTGATTCTCTAAATGAAACCGGCATGTCCTGCAGTTGTTGATGCCACGCTCCAGATTCGTGGACCGTTAGTAGCGGGGTCGACGCGTCTACACATCAAGCTTTACTGTCAGCATCTGAGGATAGCTCACCTCGCCAGCTGTCAGTCAAACTTATGAGACGGTCTTCATTTCAAAGGCCACTCGTACGTGAAATGCGCTACTCTATCAAAGAAACAAGATCTAGAGGAGAGAGATAAATACTCATGTGTGTCCAGAGAAATACAACCACCCATAACTCACAGGGTTGTGAGTAGAGTGCAAATTGTTTAAGCAATGTAATGTGATTGATGTTTAAATCAACTAAAATCAAATGTTTTCTAAAAGCAAATCCTCATATCTATATACACACTTGTGCTTCTCAGGGAAATTTGTGGAAAGTACACATTTAAAATTCTGTAATTATTTTTTCATCCTTGTGTTGTTCCAAACTGGCTTGTATGCAACAGTGGATTAAAGAAATGTCATAACTGGAAGTGACGCACTAAATTTAACATGAAGCCTAGTGATGTTTTGAGACAATGAACAATGTAGTACACTACTATTTAAAATGTTTATCATCGCATTTTATGCTCTGTTTCACATTTAAAAAAAGATGTGCAGTATACTCAAAGACAATGTTGAAGATTTTATTTTATTTTAATATGCTGGGAACAAAGTTTTAAAGGGGACTCATTATGCAAAATTCACTTTTACATGGCGTTTGAAGATTAATGTTTGTCGGCAGTGTGTGTGTGTACACAACCACCACCCAATAATGGTACAAATCCACTCACGCCTCTTTTTTATTTCCATAAATCATAATCAGTGTCTCAGAACAAGCCCTTTGCATATTCTAGCAGTGTGATGTCACATATGCCTAGGCCCCGCCCACAACTGCTGACAAACTCTGCCTTATTAGCATAGACACGCCCTTAGTGAGCTTTACACAGCATACATTTACATAGCATCATTCAAGTAAGACATTTATTTTTATTAAATCAAGAGCATTGAGTGATTTTCTGCTTTTCTTTTGTCGTTTGATTCATATTAAAGGAGCTAAACGCAAGTCTCTGGGTTTTTGCAGAACTACGCCCCCTCTGGCGAAAAGCGAAACTGCAACCAGAGCTGTGCGCGTTCATGGAGGAACACACACACACACACACACACATACGCACGTTTGCACGAGCTGTTCATAACTAAGGAGCATCAGCCGCACACTGTGCGGCACACATCTTTTGTTACAGTCATAATGAGGTAATACAGTAATAAATCTGCAAGTCATTTAAAATATATGAAAGGAAAGGCATTCGAGTAAATTACACACTTATGTGTGTGAGAGGGGGAAACGGGGGTAGTAGAAAACTTCGGTTTTTGTTTCCATCTATCTCCCTGTGCTTACTGTATCCACTTATGATTGAATTATTATGGAAACACGTTCAGTTATCACTTTGTATAGGCTATTACCCGTTTGAGCCCTAGAGCAGACCGGAGATCTCTCCGTTTGTTGAAAGCTTCCCGATGTTGACTCTCGTCTTATTCCGACGCATGGCACTGGACAGACAGAAGTTTTATTTTCTGTCTCACGTGGAGTTTGCGTTGGGGTTTGTAATGAGCTACAAGCCGGTCTCTTTCCGCGCCATATACAGATTTAATGAAGTGCACGTCACCGAAAGCAACAGATATGAGCTGGATTTTATTAATCATCGGCTAATTTCAAAATCAGCAAAGACAGCAATAAGAGAGATCGGCAACAGGCCTGGTAAGATCATTTCATTTCTTTACTTTTAATGAAGATGGTAGTGTTAAGCGTCTGCGACTTACTTTCACTAATTCACTTTGATTTGCGATAGATTGCGGCGCTTGATGAAGGGGCTCAGCTCAGCTGCTCAGGTGATGCGCGTCGTCATATATGACTAAAATATCATGACATATAGCTTGGTTTCAACAACCAGATGCATTTACACTTGTCCAGTTTCGTCTGGAATACGGCACAGACCACGTCCTCAAGTGGTTTGAGCGATCGAATTCAAATCCGTCTCGAATGCGTTTCGGAGGGTATTTACACCCTGGTCTTTTCACGATCGAATAGCTATCCGATCACAGAAGACACATGAAGTGACCAGGTGTAGGCTAAACAGCCCCTTTGAATCCATCGTTTACTTTTGTGGAAAGCTGACTAGAGTTGTGTCGCTCGAGTTGTCTTCTCTGATACGGAGAACGGCGGCGAATAGCTACACGAACCTGCCAGACACAGCCAGGCGAGCGTGAACGCGCATGACGTCACGCCCAGTCTCAGATTCGAGCCCGAATCCCTCTTATATATTTCACTGTACAGGGTTATAGAGGCGATCGCAGTGATCAAAGAAGGGCTCATTCAGCCCATCAGGCGATTGTTTAAGCATGTATGGGTTAGAAAACGGCTATTTTTAACATGAAAAGTTGCGCAATGCACCTTTAACAGCTAGGGTGACCACCCGTCCTGCTTTGCGCACAGCATTTTCACCCCTTGTCCCGCACGTCGCATACTGAGATAATGTCCCATATTTTTATCAGTCTGTTGGTTTTAATTATCATATTAAGAAAATGTCCATGTGTTCTATTGCCTTTTTAAGAAAGCATTTTATTTATTATTTTTGCAGCATAGTTTTTCACTGATATTTTACAGCGTTTCATCAGAAGTAGAAATACGTTTTTTAAATGCTGTCCAATGGTTGAAAAGAAAGGAGTAAACACGGTCACTAGTAGGTTGTGACGGCTGTCAATCAAAAAGTCCCCTTTCAGAAAACAAATGGATAATTTTAATTTAACCGAATTTTTCAACGTGTTGCCTGCTGTGGTGTTTTAATTCACATCCTTTTTTAAAAGATGAACGATTTTGGTTTAATATATTCTTAATATATAAGACTGCCAATGAGCTAATTTCATGTTGGTTTACATTTTACCTGTTCATTATTTACTTTGTTGGATTTTAGTTGGACTTGGTCAGAACTGTTTCAAAAATAGTTATCTGCATGATGGTCCATTGGGCTCAGCAATAGTTCATTGGGCTCAGTGATGATCCTTTGGGCTCAGTGACGGTCCTTTGGGCTCAGTGACGGTCCATTGGGCTCAGTGATGGTCCTTTGGGCTCAGTGATGGTCCTTTGGGCTCAGTGATGGTCCTTTGGGCTCAGTGACGGTCCTTTGGGCTCAGTGATGGTCCTTTGGGCTCAGTGATGGTCCTTTGGGCTCAGTGACGGTCCTTTGGGCTCAGTGATGGTCCTTTGGGCTCAGTGATGGTCCATTGGGCTCAGTGATGGTCCTTTGGGCTCAGTGACGGTCCTTTGGGCTCAGTGATGGTCCTTTGGGCTCAGTGATGGTCCATTGGGCTCCATGATGGTCCTTTGGGCTCAGCGATGGTCCTTTGGGCTCAGCGATGGGCGATGGTCCTTTGGGCTCAGTGATGGTCCTTTGGGCTCAGCGATGGTCCATTGGGCTCAGTGATGGTCCTTTGGGCTCAGTGATGGTTCATTGGGCTCAGTGATGGTCCATTGGGCTCAGTGATGGTCCTTTGGGCTCAGTGATGGTCCTTTGGGCTCAGTGATGATCCTTTGGGCTCAGTGATGGTCCTTTGGGCTCAGTGACGGTCCTTTGGGCTCAGTGATGGTCCTTTGGGCTCAGTGATGGTCCTTTGGGCTCAGTGACGGTCCTTTGGGCTCAGTGATGGTCCTTTGGGCTCAGTGATGGTCCATTGGGCTCAGTGATGGTCCTTTGGGCTCAGTGACGGTCCTTTGGGCTCAGTGATGGTCCTTTGGGCTCAGTGATGGTCCATTGGGCTCCATGATGGTCCTTTGGGCTCAGCGATGGTCCTTTGGGCTCAGCGATGGGCGATGGTCCTTTGGGCTCAGTGATGGTCCTTTGGGCTCAGCGATGGTCCATTGGGCTCAGTGATGGTCCTTTGGGCTCAGTGATGGTTCATTGGGCTCAGTGATGGTCCATTGGGCTCAGTGATGGTCCTTTGGGCTCAGTGATGGTCCTTTGGGCTCAGTGATGATCCTTTGGGCTCAGTGATGGTCCTTTGGGCTCAGTGATGGTCCTTTGGGCTCAGTGATGGTCCTTTGGGCTCAGTGATGGTCCTTTGGGCTCAGTGATGGTCCTTTGGGCTCAGTGATGATCCATTGGGCTCAGTGATGGTCCTTTGGGCTCAGTGATGGTTCATTGGGCTCATGGTCCATTGGGCTCAGTGATGGTTCATTGGGCTCAGTGATGGTCCTTTGGGCTCAGTGATGATCATTTGGGCTCAGCGATGGTCCATTGGGCTCAGTGATGATCCTTTGGGCTCAGTGA